GTGCCTGACCCAAGCCATGGTATTTTCAATCACCTCATATGCATGCGAAAGCTGGACAATGAATAAGGACCGAAGAACTGATGCCTTTGAATTATGGTGTTGACAAAGAATATTGAATATACCATGGAGTGCCAGAAGAACAAACAAATCTGTCTTGGAAGAAGTACAGCCAGAGTGCTCCTTAGAAGGGAGGATGGCCAGACTTTGTCTCACATGCTTTGGACATGTAATCAGGAGGGACCAGTCCCTAGAGAAGGAAATCATGCTTGGTAAAGTAGAGCGTCAGTGAAAAAGAGGAAGACTGTCAACGAGATGGACTGACACAGTGGCTGCAACAATGGGCTCAAGTATAACAATAATTGTGAGGATGGCGCAGGACCGGGCAGTGTTTCATTCTGCTGTACAGAGTTGCTATGAGTCAGAACCAGCTTGACAGTACCTAACAACAACAAATACATGATCCATTTTGCCTCCAGAAAGAGCTCTCTGGCTGCCCCCACAGAGCACTTGAGGTAGGGAGGCAAGAGTGGAAGCATTGAGTCCAACTGGAGAAGAAGGCTGTGGTGTGGATGAGGTGGAGGCAGTGGAGACGGAGGGAAATGGGAAGCTTCCAGATACACTAGGGAAACAGAATTGTGGGGATGTGCTGATTGTTATGGACAATGTTGGTGCCCAGATTCCTTTGGTTCTTTTTTTTTTTACCATTTTTGTGCCCTCCCTCCTTCAGTGTGCTTTTGCCCCTAACAGCCAGCATCTGTGGTTCTTCTTCAAGACTACCCTCCAGCCACGGGAGCTAGCTTTGCCTACAAGCTCAGACAGACAGAAGTGCCTGGGAATTTACATCGCTCTGAGCAGCCCTTACAGGTCTCTGCGTGGCCTGAAGGTTGGCAGTCTCAACCCACGCAGTGGCACCCATGAAGAAAGGCCTGGTAACCTGTTTCTGTAAACATTACAGCCAAGAAAACCCTATGAAACAGTTCTATTCTATAACACATGGGTTCACCATGAGTTGGAGTCAACTCAATAGCAACCAGTTTGGTTTTGGGCAGCCCTTATGAGGCAGTGGTGGGTCAGTGGTAGAATTCACCTTTTATGCAGGAGACCCAGGTTTGATTCCCAGCCAATGCACCTCATGTGTAGCCATCACCCATCTGTCAGTGGAGACTTGTGTGTTGCTATGATGCAGGACAGGTTTCAGGGGAGTTTACAGACTAAGATAGACTAGGAAGAAAGGCCTGGTGATCTACTTCTGAAAATCAGCCAATGAAAATCTTATGGATCACGATAGTCTGACCTATAACCAATCATGGGGATGGTGCAGGACTAGGCAGTGTATGGTTCCATTGTGCACGGGGTCATCATGAGTCCGGGGCTGGCTCAACAGCAGCTAACAACAATGGCAGTCCTTAACCGCAGACAAGTGCAGCAGCGTGAAAACCCAGCTCTGCCTCCGGTGGAGACAAGCCTGTGGTATAACTTACACTCCAGAGTCCCCCGTGGGTCAGGCTGCAGCTAACCCCCAGACTCTGCTGGAGATCACACAAGGGCTTGGCTTTCCCCGTCCTTGACCAGGCTTCCCCTGGCGGCACAGCCTTAATAAATCATGTGTACGCAAATCCTCATTGCAGGGTCTGCTTTTGGGGAACCTGACCTTACACATGAGGTATTAGATTTGGTGGGGGTGGGAGGCAGGGGAGGAAGGAGTCTCTAACATTTCTCACTAGATGAGTGGTGCTAATCGTGGAGCACGTTTTGGGTGGGGGACTGGGAATGACTTTAGGCACTGACTGAGTCTGAAGTGACTGGGACGTGCAGGTGGAAATGTCGAGGAGGGTGGTGACTGTGGAAGTGGAAGCTGGGCTGCAGAAACAGATCTGGGAATTACCAACACACAGTCATGGGCAGGATGGATACAGAAAAGGGTTTCTGGTAGGTGGAGACAATGCTGAGGAAGTGGAGAGGCTTACTTGTCTTCTGGATGCTTCATCACAAGGTTGGACCAGGAAAGGCCATCTTCCTTCCTCCCCTCTCACCGCCGATAGAGACACACCTGACAGCTCACTACCTCGTAGCTGAAGGTCTTGACACCTCCGTCTATAACCTCCATGCCCACAGTGTGAACCAGGATAAAGTTCTCAGATGGAAAGAGCTAAGAGCAGGATATCGTGGTCAGCACTGCGCCAGCTCAGGTAACTGGGCAGGTGGAGAGGCTGCCCTATCACCAGCTGCCTCCTGCCTCTGCCTCAGCCACAGCGGCAGAGTCCTCAGAAAAGCCTCTCCTGCCACCTGGCCCCAGGTCCCCAGAGTGCTGACCCCACTGGGGGGCTGGCTCTGGGAACTGGGTGGGGACAGCCCCTTGTTTGCTAAGATGATGGCAGGCACTTACATGGTTGTTGCCTGGTTCTTGGTACTGGGTGGTCACGTGAGCCAGGGCTCCACATGGATTGTCTCACTTGGTGTGGGAGAGAAGTGGGTGCTCACATGGGCCAGGGCTCCACATGGAGTGTCTCACTTGGTGTGGGAGAGAAGTGGGTGCTCACGTGGGCCAGGGATCCACATGGATTGTCTCACTTGGTGTGGGGAGAAGTGGGTGCTCACGTGGGCCAGGGCTCCACATGGATTTTCTCACTTGGTGTGGGAGAGAAGTGGGGGCTCACATGGGCCAGGGATCCACATGGATTGTCTCACTTGGTGTGGGAGAGAAGCGGGTGCTCACATAGGCTAGGGCTCCATGGATTGTCTCACTTAGTGTGGGAAGAAGTGGGTGCTCACGTGGGCCAGGGCTCCACATGGATTGTCTCGCTTAGTGTGGGAGAGATGGAGTTCAGACAATTAAGTGACCTGAGACAGGCTGCCCCCTGGTGAGAACCCAGGTGTGTTTGTGGCCCACTTGGTAACCCCTGTGCTGGGTGAATCAGGGGTTATAGAGGCCAGGGGCTGGGGCCCTGGATCACATGGTGCCCGCCAGGGCTGAGGCCAGGGAGACTGCAGGAGAGGGGTCTGTGGGGGGAGCCTGAGAGCGCTGCATCCTCACACGTTGGCCTCGCCTCAGGGAGGTGTGGATGGGACCTGGGGTGGCCCAGGTCAGGATGTGCGGGGCCACATTCCAATGCCTCCTGGGTCTGGGGTCTCCCATGAAACCCCTCTCCTGCCCAGCGCTGTCCTTTGTCTGGCAGTAGGTGTCAGGAACCCAGGGCTCTGGTCCCAAACCTGTCCTAGCTTGCTGTGTGACTGGCGTGGACTCCCACCCCGAGTGGCAGTTTGCGGCTGCTCAGGAGCCCGTGGTTTCTCAGGCCTCTGCTGCCCTCCTGCCTTTCCCTGGGACACCCCAGCCTTGCCTGTAGAATGGGCAGAAGACTCCTCAGGAAGCACAGACAGGGAGCAGAGCCCAGGGCAGACCAGACAGCACCTCTCTCAGCTCTTCCCTTCCCATCTCACCTCAGCAGGAGCAGGGCAGGCACTCCTGCAGGGTCCCATGCCTGATGCCCCCAGTGCTCAGCTCCACCCTGCTCTGGGGAGAAAGGACTCGGATGAGGAGCCGCCCTGGAGCTAACACTTACCTCCCTCCCACTGAGCAAGGGCCAGGAAGGTGGGTGACAGCACCCCAGGCAAGGAGGGTGTCTAACCTATGTCTCCTTCCCAGCTCCAGGAATCCCCGCCTGGACTGAGGGAAGGCTTGCAGCGACAGGACCCCAGGGCCAACCTCTCCCTCAACCCTGCCCCGGTCCTATCTCCTGGGTCTGATGTGAGCACCCACACCCTGGCCTGCCCCTCTCTGGCCTGTCACCCCTCCCCCCTGAAGGCAATTAGGCTCATGGCTGGATAAGGCAGAGTGTGGCCCCTGCAAGGCCTCCTCACAGGCCCACCCGGGGGCTCATGCTACTCTCTCACTTCCCCAGACTGAACCAGGGGACAGCGTGGCTGAGCAGCCAGGGGGCTAAGCGGGTACCTGTGGCTCCTGGCACTAACTCCTCTTCTCTAGACCTCAGGGTTCCCAGTCCACCAACTTTCATTGCTACCACTTCTTACCCTCCCATATATGAGCCCAGCAGCCCTGCTCTCTGCTGCATGCCACCAGTACCCACCAGGGGCAGAGGCACCACCGTCACCAGCCTACCCACCCTTGCCCACTCAGTCCCCAGCCCTCCATGGCTGGCACCCACCTCCGAGTCTTACCCCTCTGCAGAGGGATTGGGGGAAGGACCCCTGGCCCTCCCCTTCCCTGCCAGGGTCCAGCTGCACAGCCCTGGATAAGCCAGGTGGCACCCAGCAAGGCCCCTGGAGCTGGCAGGAATGGGGGCAGATTCTCCCAACCAGAAGGGACTGAGCTGCAGCTGTGGAGCCTGGGGGGCCCTAGGCTCTTCCCTGAGCACATGCCTCCAGTGGGAAACGAACACCCCTGGCTCCCGGGCATGGCCTGTGTCTCTAACCCTGCAGGGCCAGGCAGGAAATGGACATGAGGAAGTGGTGGCTATAAAATGACACTCATCCTTAGAGATGGAGACAACCTGGAGTGGTGGGGACGGAGGCAAACTGGAGAGCCCCTTCTGGCCTCACATGGTTCCTTCATGCAAGTAAGAAAAAAGTGCATGCAGTCCTGCACCGCAGCTCACGGCCTGTTCGCAGGTCTTTGTGCAGTTCATCATCTGTACAACTCTATGAGGTGGGCCTGGCCCTACGTATCATGTGGCCATGCGCGCCAGCCCTTCATGCTCCAATTCTTCAAGCTGAATACTGGGATGATGCAAAAAATCCTGATTTTTAAATGTTGGAAATGAACTCAGATTTAACACAGCCTATGGGCCAAACCAAACCTGTCTGTGCTGCTGGCACCAACGGGCAGCTGCCGCCACGGATACCGAGCCTCGGCACAGGGAGGTGGCTTGTCCCCGTGGCCTGGCAGCACCTACCAGCCCCTCAGGCACTGAGCCGCTCTGTCAGAAGGGCACCCACCTCACACCCACGGGGACCTGGCTGGCCCAGACCAGGGGCCACCCTACCGGCTTGGGGCAGTGGATGTAGCGCGCCAGGCTGATGATGAGGTCGTGTGTGATGGGGTCCACCAGGTTCCGGAAGCTGGCATAGCGATACAGCACATCGTCCAGCGAGGTCGACTCCATGCCTAGGTCCTGCAAGAACAAAGGAACGCCAGGAAGTCAGGGTGGCGGCCCCACTGGCCCTCGAGCCCTCACTCACCTTCTGCACAGCCCCAGAGAGGTGGCTCAGCCTCCCCCATGCCCTGGCAAGGGAGGAGACCCATCTTCAAAGAGGCTTCCTAACCTGCAAGATTTTCTGCAGAATGTCTCTCAAAGGGTCAGGAAAAGCCACTGCCTGTCGCTCTTTCAGGGGCCCCAGCCGAGGGAGAGGAAGAACTGGGCTCTTAGGGTCCACAGAGACAGGCCTTCGGTTGTGTGGACACCCCCTACACTGTCCCTGAGGACCAGGCAAAGGATGGCTGGCCTTGGCACTGGTGGCTGTCCAGGGCCTTAATTTGGAAACGGGATGTAGAGCGACATTCCTTGCCAGTGTGACAGAGGAATTTACTGATGCTTGTTTGTGCTTTATTCTTGTTATTTTTACTGCTCCTTCTGGAGAAGATGGCCCAACTTTGCTGTCCCTTTGCCTTGGGCGTTTCTGAGTTGTAAGGTTGAAAAAGGAAATTGCCAGCACCCAGGAGATACTCCACGAGGGCTTCCTAACGAAGGGTCCTAAGTGGGGTCCTCCTAGATAAGGGTGATGGAGGCAAGCAAGGCTGAGTGGGGGGTGGGGTGGGGTAGAAACCACTGGAGCAGAGGCTGTCCAAGCCTGGGGAGGGACAAGGAGCTGGGAGGCCTCTGCAGAGACCCCGCCCACCAGCAGCAGGCAGCATGGGCTTGGCCAAGAGCAACGACCAGTGTGGATTAGAACCCAAAAGCTCTCTGCTAAATGTTCTGGAGGCATCTAACCCTTAGATGCTTGCATAACCCCAGGAAAAGGGCGCCCCCCACCAAACACAACTAAGCTTGAATTTCCCACCAGCCAAATCGGCGGGAGCCTGAAACAGAATGATCGGCTTGAGAGGAGGCCCTGGCCAGTGTAGACAATGCACTCAGCTGCTAACCAAAAGCTTGCAAGTTTGAGTCCATCAAGAGTTGCCTCAGAAGAAAGTACTGGTGATCTACATCTGAAAAATCAGCCACTGAAAACCCTACAGAGTGCAGTTCTGTCCTGACACACAGGAGATCGCCATGAGCTGGCATTGACTTGACACCCAGACTGGATCTGCCGTAAAGAAGTAAACCCACATGACTTTCCTACCCCAGAGTGCTGGACTAAACGTCATACCCTCTACATGCAAAGAAAGTGGGCGCACCTTAGCTCTTGTCAAACCCCAACATCCTCCCCTCTCTCCCCCAATTTCTGTCACCCTGGGCTGTGGTCCCCATCCAGCTTGGCGGCTTGCACAGACAGGCAGTGATGACATTCCCACCTGAGGGACTGTCCCCACCTCCACCTGAGGAACAAGGTGGGGGGGTGGGTGCCAGGGGTGGCAGCGGAAGCAGGCCCCGCCACTGCATGTCCTTCCACTCAGCCCTTCAGGCCCCCACGCCTCTGTCTGGAGTTGTCCCAGCCAGAGAAGGCTCCCAGTGGGGTTACCAGGGTCTGGAGACCTGGGGACGGAGATGTTCTGGACGGAAAATGTGTGGGTGACGGGTTTGAATATTCTGTACTTTTCTAAACGCGTTCCCATATGATTTTTAGAAATCCCTGAGGCCAGCAGGCTAGGCATGATTATTCCCAACTGACATGAAAAAACGAAGGCCCAGAGTGCCTGGCTGTTTTAATGGTCAGAATTTTGGGAATGGCGGGGGTTGGGCGGGCCTAGGACTCACACTCACGATGTCCAGTCTCAGGCCTGCTCTGTGTTTGCCCTTATCTACCCCTAGGGGTGAAATGGCCAGGAGGCGGGGTGGAGGGTGGAGGTGTTGCTGTGTGCTTTGGGGTGACGTTTCTAAGAGTAAAGGAAAAAGAGGGCTTTGCTGGATGAATCTGGGAATCTGGAGGGGCCAGGAAGTCATGCCCCTTGTTCTTGTGGTAGCCTAGCTGAGCCCATGTGGCAGAGGGTCTTCTCTGCAATGGTTAGGGGCCCCCTCCCTGGGTAGGCACAGGAAAGAAATGGGACTCAGGTTTCAAAGAAGACACCAAGGGGTCAGTTTTTGAAACTCGGAGCCTCAGAAAAAAGCAGCCGTCTGCCAGGTGCTCTGGCTGCTGAAATCTTACAGGGACCTAGCGCAGGGCTCCAGTTCTGGCCTAGATGTAGGCAGAGGGTGCTTCCGCAGCGCTGGCTGCCAGGTCTGGGGCAGGGCCCTTTGGAGAGCCAAGTGCAGCGCTCACCCTGGACCCCAACCCCTGCTCTGGCTTCTTCAGTCCCTCAGCCACAGCCAAGACCTGAGGCAAGCTACCAAATGCCATGGAGCCTCAGTGTACACATGTGTAAGATGGGAATAGTGAGTCTTGCATCACAGGTGGTGGTGGTTGTCAGCTGCGGATGAGTCGGACCCCAACTCACGGCTACTCCACGCACAACAGAATGAAACGTTGCCTGGTCCTGCACCATCCCCATGATCAGTTACAGATGGGACCACTGTGATCCACAGGGTTTTCACTGGCTAATTTTCAGAAGTAGATCACCAGGCCTTTCTTCCTAGTCTGCCTTAGCCTGGAAGCTCCACTGAAACCTGTTCAGCATCATGGCAACACAAGCTTCCACTGACTGGGTGCTGGTTGTGCATGAGGTGCACTGGACAGGAATCAAACCCAGGTCTCCCACATGGAAGGCTCCACTGAATGACCAGAAAGAAAACCAAACAACACATGTAAAGCCTCTAGCAGGGAGTCATCCAACAATGGCATCCTTCTGTCCCTATCTCTCCCCCTGTGAAAGCCCCCCCTCTCCTTATGCAGTGGCTCCAAACCTGTTTGGACCACAGACCCAGCTGAGGATGAGACAATGCCAGGCCACTCGCCGTAGAACACAGAAGTCGGGGGCTGTGGAGCACAAAAGCCAAGCTGGCCTCAGTCAGGAGGGCAGGAGACTTTCTGCCGGCAGGGCCGTGTGGACAATGACCCCAATAACGTGCAAAAGCAAGGCCACAGCCTCCGGGCTGGAGGAAGTAGGGAGGTGAGAAGGCCATGTGGTCAGATGGCTATAGCCTGGTGCCCTGCACCAGCCAGACCCCTCCACACAGCTGGAGGCTCTCTTCCCTGGGATGGCCACTGCGTGCTCAGCCCAGGTCAGAGGCTGGACTTATGGTTTGTGGGGGACCGAGGCATAGACTGATTTTTCTTTTCCCATCTATCATGCAGGCTGGGCTGCCTTGCTGTGGGTTGTTGGCTTAATGGCAGCCTCTATCCCTGTTCCTTACTGCCCCCATGTACCTCTCCTCAGTGTGACCCTTGCCAGCACACAGCTGGCAGTCTCCTCACAGCATCTCTGCTCCCTGTCCCTGAATAGCCCTGGGTTCTAGGCCCTGTCTGACCCTAAGCTCACTGAGTCTCTGGGCTCTGTTTCTCCATTTGTGAAATGGGCAGATGGACTACACTATAGTTCTCAAACTGTGCTCCCAGATCTTGGGGCTGACAGGTGTGGGGGGTGAGCAAGGGGGAGGCCAGAGAGTCAGCAAGGCTGCAGGCCCCCCACCTCAGGACAGCAGCTTTGCTCGGCCTTCTCTTGGTTTAAAGGGAAAAGTAGTTCTGCCGCCAGAACACGTGTGTGAGCCCTTTACTCACACACCCACGTGCCCTGCTCCACCTTCTTGGACCCCAGATTCCCAGGCCAGCAGGGGCGTCCCCATCCTGGAAGGACCACGAGAGAATGCTGGTCCATAACCCAGGAAGCGGAGGAATGCAGGTCTGAGAAGATGCGAAATGCCCACCCCCCCAGAGCCCCCCTCCCTCTATCTCCCTCACCCCTCCCCTGTCACCCTGGGGTGCCCAGAGCACTGACAATTGCTCCACCTCTCCAGATGGCTGTGTCTGGGGGGAGGGGCAAAGGGAGGAACGGAGGGGGCTCCCCTGGAAGGCACGTGGCCCTGTTCACAGTGCTCTGCCTAATTATGTCACCGCCAGCCCCCTCTCTGTGAATTCCTGCTGGGGTGGGGCTCCCAAAGGATCCAGGGGTCCAGATCACAAGAAGCTGTGATGGCGAAGAACAGGTGGGGCCTGGACAGAGGCGGCTGTGCACTTCACTGCTTTATTCCTACCCACCTAGGCCCACAGGGTTCTCCGGCTGCTGTGACACTGCAGCTGTCCCATGTCCTCTCCATGCCCCTTCCCTCAGCCAGTTCATTTACAAAGACAGAAACGCTGGCCCAAAGGGAACGTGGAGGCCTGCACAGAGACGCCGGGGCTCCTTTCTGAAGCTGCACAATGTCCTGCATGAGGCTGCCCCAGAGGGGGCTCCAAATCCCTGTCCCCACCCCCCAAGCCCGCCCCAGGGGAGGAAGGCAAGGGGTGCGTGCACGATGGGGCGGAGGATGGAAGAACCAAACCCAGATGTGGCTCCTACAGGTCCCTCCTGGGCGTGACTTTAGCAAAGCACAAGGCAGCAAGGAAACTAAGACCTCCTGGTTATGGGATTAAACTGTGTGCAGAAGTTCCTTCTCAGAGAACCTGGGGACATCAGCTGGAGCTGAGTCACCGCTGGGGGTGCTGTGCTCGACAGTGCTGCCCTGGCCGAGCCCCTCCAGCGACTGAGCTGCTGGGTCTGCAGAGGTGGGGCCCTGTGTTACTGAACTTGATAACCAGGATCGGGGACTTGCAATGGGGAAAGGGATGACGGGCCGGGTTGTTATAGGTTGTTGTTGTCAGTTGCCCGGTCCAGTCGACTCTGACTCACGGAGACCCCCATATACAACAGAACTAAATGCTGCCTGGTCCTGCGCCATCCCTGTGATCCATTGTGGATTGGACCGTTGTGATCCATAGGGTTTTTACTGGCTAATTTTTGGAAATAGATCACTGGGTCATTCTTCCTAGTCTGTCTTAGTCTGGAAGGTCCGCTGAAACGTGTCCACCACGGGTGACCCCGCTATCTGAAATACTGATGGCAGAGCTTTCAGCATCATAGCAACACGCAAGCCCCCACGGG